ACCAAGTTCAAGACAAAAGAAATGCCTAATTTGTTTCAAACTAATTTAAAACTAAGAAGGTCTGAAATGAATTCAAAACTTGCTAGTTTATAAAAATTGCCAAGGTACTGAAATTCTAGGATTGATATTTTCTTTAAAATAATCTGTTTGGAAGGGAGCTCTGGTGGCCTAGTGGCAAAGAAGCTGCACTGCAATCCCACAGATGCATAGTGCAAATCCACCAGATGTTCTGCTGGAGAAGGAGGGGCAATCTTCTCCTGCCCCAGTCAGATCTGATTTGATGGTACATAAGAAAAGAATAAAATTAAATATTTGGAAGAGAAAAGGAACCAGCAGAAATATAAAAGAAATAAGTCTGGTCACAGAATTACAAAACTTTTTTTTCTAATTTTTTTGTGTGTTTGAATTAGATTTTTTCCTAATAAAAAGTTAAAACACAAGCATCTTCTCTTTAAGATACTCATTTCTTGGCAAAAAGTTTACTTTCTTTCAGAAATAGACTCCTTTCTGCAGAAGTACTGTTTCCAATGCCTGAAAAATGTAGCTGTTAGGTGCCATCAAATAACTCAAACTCATAGACACCCTATGAACACTGATCAGATCAAAACCTTTCCCCATCTTGTGCCATCAGTATTTATTAATTGGAATAGAATCTTGACAGAATGGATAGAGAATAGATCAAAGCAGGTAATAAATAAGAAATTCTGTAATAAGTATATAGAAGCAAAGACTTAAAAGGCTTGAGCACAACCAAGAGAAGTTCTGGTGGCCTAGTGGAAAAGAAGCTGCACCTGATGGAAAGCAGTTCAAATCCACCAGATGCTCCACTGAAGAAGGAGGGGCAATCTCCTCCTGTGTCAGTCTACAGTACATAACAAGAAAAAAAAATAAATTAAAAATAAAAACTCTATGTTTTATGTGTAAAATCTAACTTCTAACCTATTTTACTGAAATGCTGGTGAGTAAAAGCAATCCCATTCTTAGCTGGCTGTGGGTAGGAAGGCATTCACTGCCATCTCAGTCAAAAGTCCACACTTTATTCTAGCCAGGACACATATAATAAGCAAACTATTCTTCCCTTCTGCTATCTCTGCACAACACTAGGATAGTAAGAAAGGTATAAGCAAGACAGTATACATGTTACTACACTCTCTACTTTTCATCTTTCTTATCTGAGAAGAATCATAACTTTTCCTCTATAGTATTCTATACTATATGAATTCTATAGTTTCACCTAAATCCATTTTGGCCACTGCCACAGCTTTTTTTTTTTTAAATTTATTTTATTATCTTTGTATATGTGCCATCAAATCAGATCTGACTGGTACTGGAGGAGACTGAACCTCCTCTTAAGCAGAGCATCTGGTGGATTTGAACCACGTACCTCTGGGATTGCAGTGCAGCTTCCTGCGCCACACAGCTTTTAAAAATATTAAGGGCAGTTATATCTACTGAAATGAAGAAACTACTATTAGCAGAGATCGGTTTTTCTTTACTTTCTCAGAATGGTATAAATCAGGTTAAGGATATATTCTTAAAGCTTAAACTTATGCTGGCATAAACTGAATTTACACATATCTTGCTGTAAAAAAATATACTTTTTTTTTACAGAAAATGTACTGTAAATCATGTAATACATGACTACAATTAATGTCATGAAAATTAATCTTTGTATATATGTTCCATAAGGGCCCTGGTGATGATGCAATGGTTACTCAGCTGTCAACTGAAAAGGCTGTGGTTCAAACCCAACAGCCACTCTGATGGAGCAAGTCGAGGAACCTGGCTTTGGTAAAGAGTACAGTCTTGGAAACTCTATGAGGAAGTTCTACTCTGTCCTGTAGAATCAATATGAGCTGGAATAAAAATTTAATAAAGAGCACTGGGATTTTTTTTTTTTAGTGTTTCCCTTTCAAAAAGACTCCAAAGACATTAGAATTTAGAAATTTGGTATTACTACCACCTAATGCAACAAAATTCAACTCTAGGTTATTACTTCTGAGCAAGCAAAAATTTGCTGGATAGCTGTGGTCATTTCATTCAAAATATAAAGTTCTCAGGCACTGTGAGAAGCACTTTTTCCCTTAAGAAATCAAACAATGTGACACCAAAAAACCTTCAGGTACTAGACCTACAGTCTAAGCATATTTTCCAGTAAGTGAGAATGAAAAATGCTTAACATATCTCATTTCTGAAAAGTAACTCTTTTGAGGCAGCTACTACAATGATTTATAGATTGGAAAACTTAAAAAAGATTGTATCTTGCGTATGATCACTAGTTTAGGAAATGTCAGGATAGTACTACCTAGTCAGGTGTAAGTCTAAGTCTTAAACAGGATGCAAACAACTCCATGGATACCGTATCTTGGGATAAACCAAAATTTCAACATAGGAATTAATAAACAAGTTCAAATTCCTGCTCCAAGATCAACTTCAAAGTTCATGTAAAAGTTATTTGTATAAAAATTAGTACTGCACTGGAAGTGGAATGACCTTTATATTCATTTTCACAGGAAGAATCTCCTGTGTGTAATCCATATGGAACTGTGCTGCTTATCTAAACATTGTGTTTGGTGGTTTGAATCCACCAGCTGCTCCAAGGGACAAAGATGGGCAATCACCTCCCATGCAATTTACAGCCTTGGAAATCCAACTGAGGGTCAGCTGAGTCGGGGCCAACTCTACAGTAACAAGTGAATCTCACAAAAACAGACTGCCAAATGGCTGTACTTCTAGCAGTTGTTGTGTACTGCTGAGTCAGAAGTGACCCAAAATTGACCCTCCAGCAGGTATTTAGACAAGAGTAAATCACACAGAAGAGACCACTCATCTTTCTCCCACAGAGAAACCCTAATCTTAACCCTCTGGTTTGGCAATGCAGCTCCTTACCACTAGGTCACTGGCAGATTCAGAAATGAGAGAGGCTGGTAGAGTCAAACCCAAATACCCTTGGGATGACAGTGTAGCTCCTTGAAACTAGGCCACCAGAGCACCTTGGTCACTAGTAGATTTGAATTGCCAGTCTTTCTCTTAGCAGCTGAAAGTTTAACCAACTGTGCTTTTACAACTCCTTACAACCTGTGACTCTCCAAAATTAGTTCCAAGAGATCAAATCAATTATGTTGATCCTGTAACTCCAGAGAGACTACTTCATGATACTGTATCAGTTCAGACTACTCTTCAAAATTTTGTTTTCTAGAACTTATTTGCTAACTTCTCTAATCTTTTCTTCTCATTCGCTAACTTGAACTTGATTTACACAGCTGATCACTACTCCACAATTGGCATGAACAGAATAGTCAAAAGATAAACCTTATTTCACAACTCAAGAAAATCCGCTACCTCCACTACCATGTAAAGACTTTATCTAGTACCTGACTGATAACACCATCTACTCATTTTGTTTATACAACCTGTAAAGGATATAGCTAAGCATTATCAGTCAATATTAGTACTACTCCAGGCCATAGTCTTCAGAATTGCTTGCTGTTTGTCAGAGATAGACAATGACTAGGGATGATAGAAAGAGAATTGATGCCTTTGAGCTGTGGTTCTGGAGAAGAGTATTGAATGGACTGGCAGAAGAAACAGGTTCATCCTAGAGAGGGTGAAACCAGACTGCTCCTTGGAGGCAAGGATTCTGAGGCTTCATCTGACATACTCTGGGTATGCTGCGAGGAGGGACCAGTCCTTGGAGAGGGCAATCTTGCTTGGAAGAGTGGAGGGGCAGACAAAGAGAGGAAGACCACAGATGAGATGGATTCAGTGACTGTAGTACTGACCATAGGTGTGTCAGAGACAATAATGTTGGCACAGGATAGAGCAGATTTGAGGACTACTGTACAAAGGGTCGCTATGAGTCACAAGTGACTCCAAGGTACATAACAACAACTTGTGCAAAACCTACATCATCCATAAATTTCAGGCTGTTCTGGGGCCATCAGACTCAAGAGGAAAGGGGGAAATCCAAAGAAGAGCACTATCAATATTAAATTTAAAGTGATTAACTAGCTTACAATTTCCAATCCAAATAAAACTGGAAACAAACAAAATTTTTAAGGTACCGAATATTTGGTAAAGGGTAGAATTAGGACCAGTACAAATGACAAGATTTTGAGAACCCTGTTAGTGAAGATTTGAATATCTTAACATTCTAGACTTTCACTGTTACTAAAAAAAAAAAAGAAGTCATGTCATCGGAAAGTATATGAGCACCGGTGACTTTTCAAAAGTAAATAACATGCATACGTATGATTCTGGTCTGTAAGGCATAAGGGAAAAAATAAGCACTAGCTCGTCTACCCCATCCACCAATATTTCATTCTTAGGCGTTGTCTACAACTGTGTAACAACTGAATAACAACTCACTCTTGTCAACTCACCATTATTCAGGTCACTATGTGGACCAACCAGGTTTCTGGCCACTAACTGCTGATTATCTCTGGGATTGGTTCGTCCTTTATACTACAGTGTGGGGGAAGGGAGAGCTAAAACTTGACTGTTTCTATCTGTCTCATATGAGAAAGGGGAAAAAAGTTTTATAAAGCACAGTATTTCACTCACCTAACCGTTACAACTATCTACTACTGACGGACCTGACCTCGAAAGGCAGGCAGGCGGGCTGGGCTGCAAGACATTCCATATGGGGTAAATCCTGGGATCCAATCCTCAACTTTGCAGCTTCAATCCCTCGAGCGCCTAAGGGCAGCGAAGCTTGCACGTGGACCGACAGAGAACTGCTGTCACCTCCCGTAGCCAGTTGGCGAGTGGGATCCAGGTCGGAGAAATGACCCTCAAAGATGGACAGAGACTGCGTCCGCTCTGCCCATCCCCGGCCCACATGGCAAGAAGGCACCACCGAGCCCTACGCTCGCGCCTGGACTCACGACCCGCAGGCCCGGGCGGAGCCCCAGGGCCGAGCCCGCCCGTTGGCAGGCAACCCCGCCTGCGACAGCGCCAACCCACATCCAGTGCGGTCCGGCGTCCCAGCTCGCACCTACCTTGACGTCTTCGTCCTCGTCCTCGCCTTCCCAGCGGTCCCCGCCGGCGGTGCCGCCGCCCCCCACCTTCCGCACTGGATCCTCCAGCGAGAACGTGTCCGCGTCTACGGAACAGAGCGAGCGCGTTAGTGCTTGCTTCAGCATGGGGTTAGCGCCGGCGCTCGGCCGGGTCCACAACCTGCCTCAGGAGCTTCTTCTCACCCCAGGAATCGGAATCGCCTGCCGCCGCCGCCGCCGCCGCTGCCGCCGCCATCTCGGACCGGGTGTGAGCGTGTGTGAGAAGGAAGCAAGCAGAGTTAGCGCGGCGGAGGTGAGTCACAGGATTTGGTCTCGATGGCCGGCGCGGGGCACGCTGGGACTGTGGCTGACTGTAAGCCGAGGCCGAGGCACCGCCCCCTCTGGCGGCAGATGGGGCGACGCGCTCACGGGCGTGGAACGCGACAGGCGGGGAATCGTCCCGCGGAGGTGGGAGGCGGGAACTGGAAAGCTGTTGAGTGGGGCTGGGTTGGGAGCGTCAGGGTGCTAGGAGGATAGGATAGGTTAGGGCTTAGTCGGATGTTCCCTACAAGCTGGACATTCCTAGAGGCTGGCAGGGCAGGGAGAGAGTGGGCAGGAGACTGGAACCTTACCCTGGGCCCCCGGGTGGAAACGTAAGTGCGGGGAAGTTAGGCGGCCCCATCCTTAGGGCCGGGGCTCCGCGTGTCCTCTCTGCCCCACCCCTGCCAGTGCCGGCCCCGCCCCGGCCCCGGCCTTCGGCGTGTACGCCCTGCGCTCCTTCTGGTCGCTCTGATTACGCTGGTGACCTCAGGCAGGCACCACCGGAGGGCCCCGCCTCCCCACGCTGCGCCCGCGGGTGGGAGGCTGGGAGGGAGCTTCGCCAACGCGCGGAACGCTCTGCCCGGCGTTGGATGTGGGAGTGCCTGGATTCAGAGGCCGCGTTCCTCGCTGCCTTCCTAATCAGAATGTTGGAATCCAGTCGAGTTGTCACGATGACATAAAGACCCCCACCTTCAATGTTATTTTCTTCCACTGATGTCCTGTGTACACTTGTTTTCTCTCACAGAACAGTTTCGGGACCCTGGTTAGTGTGCTGCAAGATAAAGATGGGCAGTCTCCTCCCGTGCGATTTACTGCCGCTGAAAACCCTCTGGAGGTTCCTACTCACCCCGCACAGGACCACATTATGTGCTTGGAGCCCTGGTAGTAGTGAAAGCGCTAGCATGTTTGCAAGGTTGGAGGCTCGACTTTACCAGCCGGTCCTGCGAAAGAAAGATCCGCCAGCTTCCATGAAGAATTATATAGCTTTGGAAATCCTTCGGAGCAGTTAGACTCTATCCTATTGGGTCATTCGCTCATTGCCCTCGACCAATTGCTTGGGGAAAGATTGCCCATCTTTCTCGGAGCGGGGAGTAGCCTTTGATTGGCACAACTCCTTACCCACAGTTAAATGTGATTTTAAAAGCTTTCACTCACCCATTGCCATCAAGCCTGAATCTACCCCAGCAGTTTTTCGGAGGCTGTAAAGCACAAGAGTAGATTGTCCAACCTACTCCCGTAGCACATAATGAAAAGTCGATAGCTTGAACCGCCAAAGGTCCCACTTTTGGATTAGCAGTACCACCCTCTGCAGACTGTGCCACCCGAACTCCCTGTTGGGTCATGCACTGTGAGTCAGAACTGACTCCACGGCAATGAATTTCACTCAGTCTTAGATGTAAATTTGAAGCTTTGTCCTCAAGAAGCACACAGTCAAGTGGTAAAAATAGGCATGTGAACAAATTTGGACATAAGTGTGATGTCTGCAACAAAATGAAGCATTATGATGTATAAAAAATTATTGTAATGACAGTGTGGCCCAGGGGGTGTAGAAATGTCTTCCTGAGTTAGGTTTGATTCTTGCAAGCTTCCTGCTTAAGCTGGAGTTTGAAAGTCCAAGTGAAATACTGCCAAGTCCATGTTTGGTATAAAAAAAAACCTGTACGTCTGCTCTGTGACCATAATGATCAATTGAATGGCTAAATAGTGCAGTAAGGCTGAAAAGATTAAAGAGGAAAAGAATTTAAAGGTAAGCAAAATAACTGAACTCTATAGTAGAGTGGTAAGAGGTAAGTACTTTCAGATATATAGCGTTTGGTTTTTTGTTTTCTTAACATTTTCCAACACATGATTTGTATTTGAAGTTAACATTTTCAAATACAGTATTATTATTTTCAAATTCATCATTTACTTATTTGTTATAAAAGAATACACAATGAACAGCCCCTCTGTACTTCCCACTTTTGTACCCTTTTAGAGAAAGTTCACAAATACTACATTTTTATAGTTTTTTTCTAGAGACAGTCTGCATCTATGAAAGCAAGCTATATTCACTGATGAGAAAACCTTGCTAGAAATACAGAGCCCATCGAGTTTAGACATATAGAATTCTACACATTAAATAAGAGAAAAAAGAACTGTCTAAAAGGAATATAAGATTAGGCGAACAAAGGATGGAACAAAAGATACATTGCCTGGTGGCTTGGGGGAGGGGACGCATAGGGGGGAAAGAAAATGTTCAATAATGATAAAAAATAATATATAGAAATTAAGAGAAGAAATTATCTACAGGCATTGATGTATAAAGAGGAATTGGAGGAGGCAGAGAAGTGTTGGATATAAAGCACAGAGGGCACAGCCCATGTTTAATTCTATTTCCAGCTCTTGACACAGTGTCTAATACATAGTAAATAAGAATTAATTAAATGAGAGCACAAGCCTGAATTAAGGCAGTGTCAGAGAAAAAAACCAAGCTGAGAAATAAGTTACAAATAGAATCAACAGAATTTAAGGACTAGCTATAGAAGAGGAGGAGAAAGGAAAGCAAGTATTTCTGCCTTTGTCGAGTAGTGATAATATCAAGTTATTCAAGTCAAAAAATAACCTAGGAGTTACTTTTTGTTCAGGTGAAAAAATAACCTAGGAGTTTACTTTGATTTCTTCCTCTAACCCCACCCCAATTCAGTCCACCACTAATTCTTGGGGTTCTATTTGTAATATTAACATTAAATGCATTCATTTCCCTATCTCTTTTGCCACCACATTAAATAATCCAAACTATTTCTATACAGTAATCTCCCAGTTGCCTTTCTTCTTACATCTCTATAGGCTATTAGCTAGTTTGCTTTTCTTAAAATGTAAATCATCAACTACCTATACATTGGCCTGAAATCCATTTAGTGACTTCTTGTTTAAGGTTTAGTAGTGCAGTCCATAAGGAGTTACATTGCCAACCTATGGGTAGCACCCTTCTGGCTTGTTAAATCCACCAGCCACACAGTGAAAGATGTGTAGTTGACTCCTGTGTGATTTACAGCTTCCAAAACCCTGCTGGATATCTACTATGAATCAGCTCCAACTCGACAGCAACCAGTGAGTTTTTTCTTACTGCTTTTAGAGTAAAAGTCCAATTTTTTACTATGACCTTGCTTAGTGTAATTCCTTGCTCACCTTGTACCACTACTCTTCCTCCCCCTTGTTACCTTTGTTGTTTTTAGCCTTCTTTACTGCTCCTTGAACACACTAAGCCTTTTACCATTTGGTGTTCTTGGTGTTCTTTCTGCATAGAATGTTCTTGCTCTGTCTGGCATGTCTTGTCCTCTCCTTCAAGTCAATTTTCTAATGTTAGCCTTGCAGAAAACCTTTCCCTGTGTCCTGCTGGGGGCCTTCCCCTAGTTACCCTCTCCCTCCCATAAATCTCTTGCTATCTGGTTGATTGTTATTCACAGGCATCTTATGTGTTTGTTATAGAGCAGAACTGCTCCGTAGAGTTACCTTGACTGTATACATTCTTCTGCAGTGCTACCAAGCTAATTCAAACTGTCACCTTTCAGGTGGGTAGTTTAATACAAACAATTTGTATTACTCAGGGGCTTTTCATCATACTATTTTTGTCATAGTATTTATGACAATATATATTTATATTGTTACTTAGTATCTGGAGAACAGGTGCCTTATCTTTGTCCTTTAGTCTGGTACACAGTAAATGCTCAATAACATTTTCTTAAATGACTGGAAATAATGTGAAAGTAGAGAAGATCTGAGGAGAAGGATCGCATGAGAGGAAATCTTTAAGAATATTTAAGGAGCAGCCAGAGGAGTAAGGTCTAGAGAAAAGAGTTTTTTCATCTTGTCCACAATCAGTACACTTGGTATTAACAGTCAGGAGATTAGGAGACATATTGTACTCAGAAAGTCTGCAGTCAGGGACCTCTCCAAATTATTGAGGAATAATGCTGTCAGTTTCAGGACTAAGGTGTGCCTGATTCAGGCCATAGTTTTTTCAATCAGTTGCTGTGCTGCTGAGGCCTGGTCAATGACTAAGGCTGACAGAAGAATTGATGCCTTTGAACTGTGGTGTTGGAAAAGAGTGTTAAATATTCTAGGACTGATAAAAGGATAAACATATCTTAGAGAAAGTGTAGCTAGAGTGCTCCTTGCAGGCAGAGATGATGAAGTTTTTCTCATATGTTGTTGTTGTTGTCAGGTGCCGTCTAGTTGCTTGCAACTCATCGTGACCCTATGTACAACAGCCCTAAACCCTGTGCTATCTCTTGACAATCTTATTGTCTTCAACACACCTATCCCCATTACCTCAGTGACACAATCAATCCATCTCATCAAGGGTCTTCCTCGCCTTTGCAATACCTCCACCCTCCCAAGCATGACATCCCTCTCCAAAGTATATCAGAAGGAGCAGCCTTCACTCTCTCTAGGAGGAACTTGTTTGTTCTTCTAGCAGTCCATGGTATATTCAATACTCTTCTCCAGCACCAAAACTCAAAGGCATCAACTCTCCTTCTATCCTCCTTAGTCATTGTCCAGCTCTCTGATGTATAGCAGCAAGTAATGGCAAAGACCTTGGCCTGGATCAGGCACACCTTAGTCTGCAGACTGATACCTTTGCTCCAGAGGCCCCAGTGCAATTCGTCTTTTAATTTCCTGGCTGCTGGTATTAATTGTGGAGCCAAGCAAACTGAAGCTGTCAACAATCTCAATCTTTTCACCGTCTATCATGATGCTGCCAATCAAACCTCAAGTTTGATTGCCAAATTCAAACCTCTAGTTGCAATACGTAAAGGATACTTTGGACAGAATATTAAATGATGCAGGAAGCATTTAAAAAAAAAGATGAAAAGAGTATACAGAGTCATTGTACCAAAAGGAATTTGTGGACACAGAAGAATTTCATGAAATAATGTATGAGCAAGAGCCTGTGGTGAT